AATAATAGAGATCGCAAGATAGCTGCTCATTATCCAACGTTTTTTCTTCAGACGATGATGACTAATACGTTTTGCGGTGGTAGTCGTTTATGTGATTATTTATTTTAGCGATTATTTGCAGAATTTTACAGAAAATCTTGTAAGACCACTTAGGCTCAATTTCACACAAATAAGATGCAAACTTTCGCTTGAACAATTTTCTTGATTTTTTTATGAAATGCTGTAAATAATCGCAAAAAACATATGATTGATCTAAACGTAAAAATTGTAATTTTGGTCTGAAAATTTGAATACATGCCTTATTTTAGATCATTATCATAATTCATCATCATATTAATGGTTCCTATTTTTCTCATGAAACATTTTCACGTTTCATTACTTTTCTAAAACCCTGTACATACGATTTCAGATTTTTTTAATATCAATTTTATTTTCAAAAGATGCAAATTTTTTATAAGAATACTTTTTATACCAAACCGTTTGAGCGATTCTTCTTTTGTGAAATTGGCCGCAGTGGTAGTGCGCCCGACTCTCGATGGGAAGACCATGGGTTCGATTCCTGCCTCGACCAGATATTTTTCTTGAGAGACGATTGAGTAAAAGAACAATTATATCTGTTGAACTCCGTCATTTGGGGGTCATTTATCATTTGTTTTCATGGACTACAATAATCAGAACAGTCATTTCAACAGAATGGATAGAGATAATTTCGATACATCATCTGTTTTTCCTTCTCACTGGGTGCTGAAAACTCCATGACAAATATAGTATTGCTATGTTGGTTAGACAGAACTAAATCAAGCTCATTACCTTGTTTGAGCCTGAAGTAGAAAATGTAGAGTTTGAATAAATTAGGCATTTCTCTATTCTATTCTCGTCCCGGGAACGATAGACAACGACCGCATTAAGTCGATGGACATAGGTGCTGGACATGCATAATGGTTTCAGGCGCATCGCAGTGGGTCCTGCACCCTGCGTCAGGAACTTTTATACCCATCACGCAACTGCAGTAGACTAAGGTATTATAGAAAAAATCCTGACATGCCATGATGAACCCATTATTTTCCGACCTCAGCTCACTCGACCTGAGGAAAGCGAAAATCAGGCGCTATATCAAGCCCAGGTCATCAATGTTGTTGAAGAAAACCCATGCATTGGCTTATTCTTGTGTTGCCGCAGAAGTGAGAAGTGAGGCTGGAGTGTCTGAGTTGAGTGGATGCGAGAGGACATGTACTTCCAGAAGGATTTCACCTGATCAGCGGTCGGCGGATTATCCACGAGACATGGAGGCTCTTGGAATAAGCGAGAGGGTTTCTTGCGGAACCTAAGGTTTTCTGCGATACTTCTCTCTCGCCTCATTAGTGATTTATTAGCAGTCAGTAGCATTCTTATCCTTTCAAGGCAGTGATGTCTGGTGGTTAGCAGCATGCCTTAACTCAAAGTGTGATGGATACATCGTAGTGTGGCGGCTGTTCGCCGCACTGCGGGCATGAAAGGTTGGGCCGCCCTGTAATTCATCATACATTGGATACGAGACGCATGTTGTCTTGCTGACGTGATCTTACACGCCGCCGGTCAATCTACCGAATCGCAAGGCTGGGATTTCGTCCTTCCGATTCAGAAAGCGATTGGACGACACTATACACGGCGGTATTGATTTGCCAGATGTCAGCCTCTTCTGTTAGAACACTGTGAACCTACGCCGCATCCAAACAAGCCAGTTCTTATAGCTCCAGGGACCCAATTCTGTAGAGCGCCCAGCGTGTTCTGATTGACTCCATTGGTGGCATGATGCGGGTCTCCCCCACAGCCGTGCCAACGGGTGGTAAAACTGTCACTTCTACCACTTCGTTAACAGGCTGTGAAGGAGCTATATAGCCCTGCCGCCGACGATAGGCTACATAATCCCTGAGATTTTGGGCGAAAAAGGCGGCATGCTCCGAATGTGTTCACACCACAGAGCATGCATTCTCGGCATGTCCCCTGTTCACGCGGGCTCACTACTCTCGTAGCAATGCATAAGGCTATCTCTCAGCTCATGCGTCCACTCAAAGCATCCGTTGTCATTGCCAGGGTTGTCATCGGTAGGAAAATCATTGTTATGGGCCCCACCACCTTGCCTTCGACCCGTCCGAGCGGTCGACTGTGGGGGTTTCTTCCTCTATTACCAGGAACCAACTTTTGGGATTGCCGGGTGGTTCGCCCTATGAACCCTCGGCTGGCACCAGAGGGAGAATAGTATTCTCCTTCTCCGGTGCGCCCGGACTGCCGGTCCGGTTTTGCACCAGTTGCTCGGGTAAGTGGTGGCGCAACTCACCAAAGGCCATGGATGTTTGTGGCCATCCCTGCTCATTATCATTATCATTTCAATCGACAAGGTAATAAAAATTACTATTCGCAGTTATTTTGAAGTACTTAATCGTATTCCAAGAGCTCCATAGAAAATCGTTATCCTATATATCTTATTAGGTATACATTGCTATATCATTCATACTTACATTAAAATGATCTTCNATCTCAGTGGAGTTGAGAATGTAATTATAGAAAACTCTACTGTGATGAATCAAGATGATTGCGTAGTTATCAATGCTGGATCAAACATCCTTGTCAGGAATATGGATTGCTCTGGTGGACATGGATTGAGTCTTTCAGTTACTAAAGAACCCGTATATAATGTTACTTTTACTGATAGTATTGTGAAAAAATCAGCAAACGGATTGCATGTGAAGACTCACATTGATGGCAAAGAAACTGAAATCAGAAATATCACCTATAAAAATATCGAACTGAAAGGTAATTTAACAAATTTATTGGAAATAAATATCATCTGGCTGGTCTGTGATGATTTTTATGCAAATGCTATCGTTGAACTGAATTTTAATAAACCTCAATTGAACGAAACTGTTTCTATAAGAACCGTCAAAATCTGAATTCTACAAACAGAATTGAAACTGGTCGATGAAAATGAAAACCCTTGAATTCTAAATAATACTCAATTAGTTTCAAATCTTTATTATTACATCCGGCTATTTTGAAGTATGTTGGGCGATTCATGTAGGCGACAAACTCCAAAATAATTCGTCAATCTGCCTCAATGTTTATTTTCAGTATATTTCTATATCCGTATAGGTTGGTATAATTTATTACCGTCTGTTCTGGCTGTTGTCTCCAACTTCTTTCACTGTTAGTTCTTTTATCAGGCTCCGAGTTACTTTCATTTGTTTTATCTACTTTTGAAACTTGAAAATCTATTCCATGAACTTTATCATTCATATCATCTGCCCCTTCATCTTCATCAGAATTGTGGTGAGTATTCAATTGTGAAACATGTGTAGTGTTGTTTCACTCAAAATCTGTTTAAAATCTGTCGCACCCCTACGAACGACCATTCTCAAAATTCGAAACTTGTACAAGCAAAAAACCAACAAGGTCTTACCTTTTAGCGTGTCATCTCTAGCATGGGCTGGACGATGAGAAGTGGAAATCGATCGTCCGGCCTCGCGGCTTGAACCACCGGTACAGCAGTCGAATTTTGACCAGAAACTGATATTTTCGTTAATTCCGGGATTGAGAATTATAAAAATATTACGAACTATAATTGATTAGGGAGAAATAATCCTTGAAAGAAAGATTACGGCAATACAAACATTTTCAAAACGAAAAAGTACTAATTTTCTTTGTGTTAGTGTACCTACCTGATGAATTTATTGGTATGTCTGAATTATATTTTGAAGAAATCTAAACAATTTACAAAAGAAGTAACGACAGGACCGTAATTTAAAATTGTCACTCTTGATAGTGGTTATTTCAAATGAAACGCTATAAAAATACCAAATGTTATATACCCTTGGATTGTGAATGTATTGCTTCATCAATATCTTGAATAAAAAAGACAGGTCCGTATTAAAAAAAAAAGTTGATAGTTACCATGTTAACACAAAATGTTTTATCGAATATTTATTATTAAATCTTCATAGTACACTTCGAATTCAATAACATTTATTCGACTCACCTCTTTCACAAAAATCAAAATAGGTGCTTCTTACCCTGGACCTCCGACCTTTACGTTTACCCGATTTCTCTCTATGTGCTCGTCGTTTGGGTTCACTGCTGCTAGACGACTCTTAAGAACTTGATGAAGATGAAGATTCTGAGGAACTCGACCTCCTACGGCGTTTTGTTGATCGCCGTCCTTCAAACATTCAACGTGGAGCGTAAGAAAAAAAAACGACGTAGATGCCTCTTCTGAGATGTTAGGAATGCCTCACTGGCTAACAACGATATTGAAACACTTATAATACCACCAACTTTATAACATTTATTAGTCTATTCAACAACAATGTCAGTTTCAGACTGCCCCAGTTAAACATATTTCAACACACAAAGGAATGTATCATCCTCTTATGTAAACTTATCAGGTGATATTCAGGGCTGTCCCATCCAGTACCCCCAACAAGATAATGTCCAGGGCTGTCCGGAGCTCTGATCCTAACGCACTCCCTAACACTACGTTATTCTCAACATCGTGGTCGACTAAATTTTTAATAATGCACATCAGTTCATTAGCACGACGAGCAGCGACTCTGATAGGCCTAACTGAAGATGTTTGCCACAGAAATAGACAAAACCTTTGGTGCTACAATTTCTTTTCGACCATGGCCTATCAGCCCTCCATTCGTAACTTGAGCCGTGACAGTCTATGTTTTTATGCTTTTGTTAATGCTATGCTATGATCTCAAACTGATATGATGAACTATTATCTGCAACTCGCGACTTCGTCTTCGGAAACATGTAGGAATATTGAAGAAATTATTAGAATGAAATATTAACTCGTCATGAAAAAACTTTGTAGTTTTGTATTTAATAAATTAAGTATTTCATATGGTATAATCTCGAAACTTATTGTGGTTACTGTAATGGATGTACATTTTGTGAACAAAAGCTAGTAACTAACCTATGAAGTTTTGGTTGTCATAAAAAATCGATCTTAAACTTTTCAGGTATCACTAACTTTGGAATAAATATACAACAGGATTACAAAGATGGAGAAGGTACCGGCAAACCATCCAGTAATATTCCAATCATACACTTGGTGTTGAGTAACATTACTGGCACCATGAATGGTAACGATTCGAAACCAATACAAATCATTTGTGGTGATACCGGCTGCTTGAACTGGGAGTGGTCTGACATCTCTATTACAAGCAATTCAACACCAAGCAATTGTAATTATTCACCTGCTGGATTTTCTTGTTGAGAGTGGTTTTGTGATTTTAGAATTAGTGAGGTTGCCTGTATAATCATGATTTCACTTTGTATAATGCAATATTATTCTGCCATTTCGTGTATCATTCATTCATCCTTATGATATAGAAATTTGCCAAAAAAACTAGATTTAAACATAGTAAGTAGTTGACTTCAACAATATTTCAAAGTTAATTCTGAAATTCTACGAAATGTCGAATAATGAAGCTATATATTTTCTTCGTCAACACATATGTTTCGCATTCTACCTGACATTTCAATATCATAGAATTATTTTTCGGCAATATAGAAATCATTTCACAACTTGTATGAAATGTTCGATTGATAGTGAAAATAGTACAATTTATTGGAATTTTTCTAAATTTCTTATAGTATATTTACATAATCATAGGAGAATTTTCTGTATGCTGCGAAACTTTGATTGGAAAATAAAAATTTAGAGAGCTTTCGGATATACCAAGCAGAGAAAATCAAAGATTGTTATGATATTTAGACTATGAAATACAAGTATGTTTGCCCGAAGCTAATAATGATCCTGATACATTACGAATATTAGCAACCTGAAAAATAAAATATGAAAAATAATCAAAATAGGCTCCTTTCTCACTATTCCAGCTGCACATATCGGTTGAAGTGTACTGAACGTAGTTGATTTTCAAATCCAGGTTATTCAGATAATTATCCATTAGATACCAATGATAATGAGTAAGCGAGGATGGTCATCCGACATCTGATGGCTTTGGTGTTACGTTATCACTTACCTGAGCAAATAATGCAAAATCCACCCAACAGCACCGGCGCACCCGCAATATGAACAAAGATATCCTTTAAGAATAAAATCCACGGTAACGGTTAAAAATATCGGAGTGCATACCAAATGCATAATACTGAATTAGATTTTTTTGTATCGACAAAAGTGCAGATTTATTGAGAGTCACTCCCTAACTCTCTATATTTTCGAGAAGGTGAGTTTAATCTTGAATGAACTCAGGCCAGTTACGCAGCTTACTTGATGTATAGATGACTTTGAACGATTGTTTTGAGTTTGCCTTTGAATGACCCTCACACCTAAATCACACGACAAAAGCAAAGTGACTTTGAGGTAATGTTTTGAGTTTGACCTTGAACGACCTCCATTGATCCACGTGGCTATTTCGAAGATTTGACTTTGAACGACCTTCAGCCGCATGGACGAAGATACTTTTGACTATGAGTGACTTTCTGCAATATCATGTGACTCTGCTGATGTAAATTTGAGGGGCGCTTATGTATTCTCCTTCCCTCCCCCACTCTTTGAATGAACATATAAAAGAGGTGTCACTCATTCACAAGAGTCAATTTGATATCGCTCGTATTAAATATTCCTACAAATATGTTTCAGCCGTGAAGATGACATGCGTGGTCATCAAATGCAGTCCTGGAGGTCCTCCAGCAAAACGACCCATAGTGGATTCTGCCCAACCGAGTGCAGTTCAGGAATTATGCAACTATTGTAATAGAATGGTGCCTGAGAATAGGATGAATTCACACCTCAAATCATTGGAGCATAGAACAAATTCCTGTATGGAATTTCAAGATGGTGCGGAAATCATCAATAGCGCATTCAAATATAGGATTGTTAGTTACAGTATCCTAAGTAAGAATCTGCATTCAGACTATCATTTTTTTCAATGAAGTGAGGCATAAAGTTGTGACTTTGATTAATCGAATGGTGCAAGTTCATAACATCTTGAAAGTGAACATGGAGTTGTTTGGGAGGTACATACTTCAGACGCAGGAAATATCAGAGGTGAAGTCTTTCAACAGCCAAAACCAAATTTTTGATCAATTAAACATCCTTGAAGAGGTATATACGACATTCGACGACACGTTGTCTGTAACAGGGGAGCCCACGATGCAAAATGGGGATTTACTCGAGCGTCATTGAGACATATAAGGTTGCAAAGCTTAGATGATAAGAAGAAAAAAATGTTATATAATATATACATTTTCATCGGTGGGGGAAGCGGCTATAGATTTTCAAATATGTAAAAAAATACTGTTGCAAACAAAACATCGTATTTTCGTAATGAATTATTTCTGGTTCATAATTTTTATGTAGGTTTACACCCTTGAATATTCGCATATCATCAAGGAAACACCCTGTGAAATCCAGAAATCTAAATTTATCGGCACAATTAGGGAAGTGCAGTGGAAATGAAGTTGTTTTGCTTCGAAAGCTGTCTTTATTTCATAATAATTGACAGATATGTCATAATTTTAGCTTCAAATGTCGACAACTGATTTTTACAATATCCATTAACAAAACTGCATAGATTCACTATTGCCGAAAGCAGCATTTTTGATGAATGTACTATACGATAATTCCAAGGCATTTATTCACCCTTCGAACCTTGATACCAAACAGTTGTTGGATTACGGTAGGGACGAACTACGATGTCAACAAGCCTTCTTACAGGTCTCTGTCATTTGAATCATCATATGCAGAGACTCGGACTATCGGAAGACAGTGTGTGTCGCCTTTGGTTGAGAAATGATGAAACAGCAGAGCACATACCTTGTGCCTGCCCCGCTGGGGACCGAATCAGGTTTTTAGAGTTCGTCGGAGCCGTACGTTTACCATCTGACCATACAAACTAATCGGCTTCGTTAAGAAGCTGGGTTTACTTGGTCGAGTATGAATAGGTGTGGACCACAATAGGAGATAGATCATGGAAAAGTCGAAGTGGAATACGGGATGTTTCCTAACTACGGTACGAAACTTCAGAGAGGAATTTGTTAGGTCGCTTCAAGAGTTCTTCGTTTCTGAAATACAGGCCTTGAAGTAAAAAAATGGTATTTATAAAATGTCACACCTAAATATCTTTACATCAATTTAGTTGAAATTTGCTACAGTAATTTGAAGTGATAAGGCGCTTATTTAGCCTTAACTTCATTGAAATTATTAGGACCAATGAAGTCTTAGTGGACATCACAGCCAACAATATTGGGAATAAAAGTACACTACCGATTTGTTTTAGTTTTTTCAGGTTAATCAAAAGAGAATACAACTTTTCATCGCTTGTGTTTTCTTCATATCTAGCTTTATTTTCGAGAAAAAAATGAAGCAACTTTGCATATCATGAACACTTGCTTTGGAGACCAGCTGACAGTGATAATGTTGTCACACCAGTGAGAGTCAGAGTTGTCAATTAGCAGTGATTTCATCATGAATAATGGTAGTTACTTTAAGCCGATTTTAGAACCTCCCCCCACCACTTTCAACCTTGAAATGACCTCTACATATGTCACATAAAACTGCCAAGGTGACGTTGAGGAGGTGTTTCGAATTTGACCTTGAACGACCTTCACCTAAGTAACAAGGCGATGCAGGCAAGGTGACTTTGAGGTGGTGTTTTGAGTTTAACCCTGAATAACCTTCATTAACTCTCTATATTTTCGACAAGGTGAGTTTGATCTTGAATGAACTCCGGCCTGTTACGCAGCTTCCTTGATGTATAGATGACTTTGAACGATTGTTTTGAGTTTGCCTTTGAATGACCCTCATACCTGAATCACACGACAAAAGCAAAGTGACTGAGGTAATGTTTTGAGTTTGACCTTGAACGACCTCCATTAAAAGTGAACATGGAGTTGTTTAGGAGGTACATACTTCAGACGCAGGAAATATCAGAGGTGAAGTCTTTCAACAACCAAAACCAAATTTTTGATCAATCAAACATCCTTGAAGAGGTATATACGACATTCGTCGACACGTTGTATGTAGCAGGGGAGCCCACGATGCAAAATGGGGATTTAGTCGAGCGTCATTGAGACATATAAGGTTGCAAAGCTTAGATGATAAGAAGAAAAAAATGTTATAAAATATAAACATTTTCATCGGTGGGGGAAGCGGCTATAGATTTTCAAATAAGTAAAAAAATACTGTTGCATGGACATACTCGAGCGCGTCAGATATTGATAGCATCAATGTCCTACGTATTTTTAATAATGTTGGTATGTTAATCTGATCGTTTGCATGATGTGGGTGGTTGTACGTAAGGGTTAAAAAGGAAAAGAAAAAAAAATTATCGAGAGCGTCAGATTTTCCAAGGGGGTGTTGAATGATCAATTTTTTTTACTAATCTGATCCTTTATCCTTCACGGGCTGCCTTATATATGGGGCTCATATTTGGTGGAGGTACTTAAGCGGCTACAAGGTATCCTCCTGTTTATTAATCTGCCGCGCTTTAGTAAATGCCGAAAACCCCGCTTTGGCTCCGCTATTACTGCAAAGGCTGTGGAATTTGAAGAACGTGATTACGGTATATTATCTTCATGAATGTGAAAGAGATTTCAGTCATAAAACGAATGATGTGTTCACAGGTTGAACTCTGGAGAAAGTTGTTTTTATCGAAGTAAACATCAACAAATACAGGGTGGGGCACCAAAAACGAAACAGATCGAATATCTTCAAAACACATGTGTTCTGAAAAAAATGCAAAAACACGTCGACTTGTAATCCAAGGGGGACATCTTCCTATCATAACCTCAACTGTCATACATCTTCCCCCACCCCTCGGTGACTATCACCCAAACAATTTGAATAGGGAAAGTAGTAAGTGTGACACATCGTTAAAAAGGTAATTTCATAAGGAATTCAGCCATGTCAATTTTAGCTACCTAACTTTCGATTTTGGCGCCTTCTTGCGGGAAAATAACTGTTCCGTATTCCAAATTATAATACTTCATTCGCAAGCTCATTTGACATAAATTCGGTGACGATACATTATGAAGTTTTTTTTGGGGGAAAAAACAAGATGTCGGCTTCACAATGGCGGACAAGATTTGCAATTATGGTTCGATTTGATTCAAAATTGATGAATGGTGGTTTTCAGGGTCGAAAATTATGAATTGTTTTTCAATGCAAAAAATCAAGATGGTGGCTCCAAAATGGCGGACGAAATTTGTAATTATGGTTCGATTTAACCCGACACCAAAAACGAATTCTTCAAAACACATGTGTTGTGAACATAATACAAAAACACGTCAATTTTCAATCCAAGGGGGACAAATCTTATCGTTAATTCAACTG